TATATTAAATTGAGCTACGGCTCTCATTATGTGTTGCTGATATCATGATGAGGAACTTAGGCTTTGAGGTGAAGAAATTTTGGCAGTTATGTTGTGTAGTGGCCTAAGTTGTAATTAATAAAAATAAAATTTTTTTTATTAAAAAATAATTAATATAACTCGAAATTTAATATTTTTATTTTAGAATTTTACATACATAGCACACTTGATATTGACAATTAACTATTTCACACCCAAATATCAGCATTTACAAATTTTGAACTCAAATCTTTTCGAATAGAACAAAAAATAGCCCCACTAGAAAATATTAGGTCCAATTAACCTTACGTGCGGACAACGGCATGGATCAAACCATGTCGTGTATTCGACGCATGATGCGATCCATACCTTTATTGTCATGTCAGTCATTCCAGACACGATCTAGAAGACTTTCAGTATTACTTACATAGAGATGAATGCGAAGCTCCAAATTTATTAATGATTTATCCGACACTAATTAATAAGTTCTACACGAATCAGAATCCCCAAAATGAGGGAGAAAGTCTAAGGGTAGTGTCTTATACATAATTTAGTGAAGTCTCTTCTCATTAGTTTTTGAGAGGAGTTGGGGGCATACAGATCTTTGGAGCCCACAAATACGAATGAATTCCTATGTATTTACTTATTTAACACCTAAACTTTATTTTTAGCATACGTGCCACCTTACATATGCATGAAAACATGTATTTCAATTTTTTTTAAAATTAAAATGGTGCTATTTTTTATGTGATATGAAAGATTTTAGTGGTAGAAATGTAAAAAAAATAAAGCTGAGATGTTAGATAAGTAAATACCTGTGTGTGTTTATGTGCGTGCGCCTCATACTCAGATCAGTTGGTCGAGCATGTGTCTGTCAATTGTAAGTCCCCTCTAGTTTGGGGTTCGATTCCCTCCGAGTGTAGGGTGTGGTATTCAAATTCTTAAGCCCACAAGGGATAGCCGGGTTTCATATAATAGCCTTCAACCATTCATTTATATATATATATATATATATATTGTTTTTTTTGAAAGCCCAAAGGCTAATATTATACGAGCTTCGACCTTCCCTAATACACCTAAAAATTCGAGTATCACTCCCAACATTCGGGGAACCCCAAAAACTTAACAATTCTGATTACGCGACACACACACACAGCGGAAAAGCACAAAAAGTAATTACAGAAAAACACATTCAGATTTAACGTGAAAAAACTCGAGAACGGGGAAAAATTATGGAGTCACACTACATCAGAACTTCACTATAAAAGGAGAAATGTGCATCGATTTTCGCCGCTCAGATCTTTTCTCTAAAACACTGAAACTCACAAAAATTTTGCACCAAATCCTCTCTTGATCACACAAGAGAATTAGCATGCTCCAAAATACGCCTCTTGAACTTCACTGCTCATGTAAAAAACCCTTCAAGAGTTTACTGCGTGTTTAAGAGTGTTTCTCATGAAACAAGGAATTAAATCCCTAACTATGTACAAATCGCCCCTGGCACCTACGCGCTGCTCCCGGGTGTTTTCATTCTGCTTTCTCTGATTGTAATCATGAATTTGGGCGTAGTCGTGCCTCGAAATGCAATACTGGCTCAAAATAGCACCTGGGTGAGCCCTGTCTGAATCAAGGCAAGGAAGTGCTCGAAGTGGGTGTCGAGGCACCTAGGCGTCTCTTGGGTGCATTGGCGCTATGTAGATCAACACGACGCCTAGGCGTCTCTTGGGTTCCCACTCAGACTTTGCGCCTGGGCGGCTGGGCGCCCTTTCTAATACTGGTGTAATTTATTCTGCCTTTCAAATAATAACAACTTGGTCGAAATTGTAAATAGTGAAAACATGTTTTGTTTCTAGTGAAATTTGAAGATAGCAAAAAAATCTGCATTTAGTGTTTGGGTCTGTCATGTAGTTTATACGATTAAATATAAACATTGCATAACTACCACTCAATTCTTATTTATTTACATATAACACAAACTTCATTTTCAACCGTTTTTAAATATCTAAAATGTGAATTTTTATGTGATATGAAAGTTGTGGACATTTAGTTGACATAAATGTAAAAAAGTAAAATTTAAGTGTTAGAAATGTAAATACATAAGAATTGGGTGTTTTGTACGTAAATACTCTAATCTCAAATATATCCTAAAGAATAAAAAAAAAAATATTGCCATTTTGGTAGTTTTTTAAAAAATGTTGCCGCTAAAATCATTGTTTTTTCATGGGCCCTGGCTATATGAGGTGGTAGTTTTCTAGTTAAGACTGTCAAAACGGCTCGTTGTTCGTGAACAGCTCGGGAGACAAATATTTGTTAGTTCGTGTTCGGCTCTTTTTGACTCGAAATACTACCTATCAATTATATATATATCTTTGGAGAGGATGAGTAGTATTTAATTATCAATTAAAAGTATTAATGAAGAAAATAGAATAAAAATTATTAAATTAGATTCAAATGATGTTTTAAATCTTGCCACAATCCTTAACATCTTATGGTTACGTGATTAGGGTTGTCAAAACGAATATTTGTTCGTGTTCGGCTCGTGTTCGGCTCGTTTACACCCCTATCTATAGGTTCATGCAGCAATGTGTTGAGAGTGTAAATATGAAACTTTTGGTGGTAGATATATAACTACAAAAGAATTGTGTGGTATGTATGTAAATTTCCATAAGGTTATTTAGGAGCGTTTCCATAAAAACAATATAATAGAAGCTGACCGTGGAAACAATCTAAGCCGTCCAAATTGAACTTTCATATAACTCCAAAATAAATGATTCATCATCCAAGTTTGCCTGAACCCGACATTTGATTTAATTTATTACTTATCTTTAGAAAATTTAGATTGATATAGGGATATAAATGAGTCGGGCGCACTCGTAAGCTGACTCGCGAGCCAGCTCTAGCTCTGCTTGTATGGCTTACAAGCTCATGAGCCGAGCACATTGAGCTACAAGCTTGAGCACGTCTTGGCTATGTTCGTTGGCTCACAAGCCGGCTCGATTTGCTTACTGCAACTCATTTCAATACATTTTCAGGTGAGTTGTCGCTGCAATCTTCTCTTACTTCGGCCGCCAGCTTCTTCTCTGATGAGCTCCCGGAAAAGATTAATTTTTAATTTGGGCTCTCAAGCCCAAAAATTGAATTTTTAATTCGAGCTCACGAGCGGGCTACTACCATTACGAGCCGAGACTCAAACTCCAGCTCGAGCTCACCATTTGACAAACAAGCTGAGCTCGAGCTTGGCTTCGCTCAAGCTCGACAACAATGTCATGCATGTAAATACGAAACTTTAAAGGTGAGATATGCAAAAACATAAGAATTATATGTATGGCATGTATGAATTAATGTAAATGCCCTTATTTTTAATTGAATCGCTTCAGACCTTATCATCCACGGCAACTACTCAATCAAAGCCACCGCAGCCTGAAATCACACGCAATAAAGACACCATAAAATATCAAAATTATATTTTAATCCACATATCATTCCAATTACTATAAATATGCCATAAAATTCAAATTATTTATTTCATAATCTCTAAACCAATCAAAAAATGATGAGAAACTCAGCTCTATTCTCTCTCCTCCTCTCCTTCCTTCTCTTCTCTCTCTCCTACTCCAATCCCCCTCATGAAGCCAATCAGCTGCTGAAGTTCTCTGGGTCTCCTAAGGCTTTAAAAATCGCGCGAGATAATTGGTGGAAAATTATAAAAAATAATAATAAATTTCCGGTGTATGTTAGTCCGCAGGAAGGGCTGAGGGAAGCGGATAAGATAGAGAAGTTGCCAGGTCAGCCTGAAGATGTGAAGTTTGATCAGTATTCCGGATATGTTACTGTTGATCCAATGAAGGGGAGGGCTCTCTTCTACTATTTTGTTGAGGCGCCTCAAGACTCTGGCTCCAAGCCTTTAGTCTTGTGGCTAAATGGAGGTAATGATGATTTGATTTGATTTTTTCGTCTTTTCATTTTTTTTCGATTCGTTGGTTGGGTCGAGATTTGTCGGTAATTTTAAGATCATCGCAAGGAACTTTTGCTAAGGAGATTTCAATGAGAATGTTGTTCGAGTTATGGCTATTTATTACTGAGTCGTGTTGAATAATAAGTTAGCTCGATCAAACTTGACTGAATAAATTGCTCGTGAGCTAAGCTTTGATCAGGGATAACACAAGCTCAACTCTTTTGAAAAAGTGGACAATGAGATTATCAATTGGACGTTGTAGTGAGTGAAATGAGCGAGTCAGGTCGGGTCGAGCGGAATATATATATAGATGGGCCTTTTGATTCTATTAGTGTGATGAATGCAGGGCCTGGGTGTTCTTCAATTGGAGCTGGAGCAATGCAGGAATTGGGACCATTTAGGGTTAACAGTGATGGCAAGACTCTATATGCAAATAAGGCTTCTTGGAATAATGGTTAGTTTATAATATGTTAATTTTATTTATGCAAATATTTTGGGTAATTATGTAATCAATTTTGAAGGGCTTTCTTTCTTTTTTCTTAACTAAACAAAAAATCCAATTGTTATAAAAGTATCAAGGTGGACTTGAAAACAAGAGTTTAATATAGGGTTATCAAAACGGCTCGTTGTTCGCGAACAGCTCGTGTTCGGTTCGTTAAAAAGCTTGTGTTCGGCTTGTTCGCTAAGTTAACGAGCCGAACATGAACAACACGAACAAATATTTGTTCTTTCGTGTTCGGCTTGTTTTGGCTCGAAATACTACTAATCAATTATATATATA